TTAATTGCAAGTGAAAATAAAATATTTTACAGTATTTGGAATATTTTAATTAATATTTTAATGAAACATTTGAAACAAATTCTTTTTTGTATTACAGGTCCAATACTCAAATCCTATGAATGACATATCTCACAGAAGACTGCATTGACAATATTTATTTTGTATTTCTTTATCACAAATTGAACCTTCTGACCCAAAATGGAGATTCTCTCTCATACTAGTATTAAATATCAATGAATTTGAATTGAGGGTTCTGTGCTTTTTTTTAGAAACACAATATGCATACCAGTATTTTTGTAATTGTACTTTCTATACATTTATTTTTTAAATTGTCTGGATACTGTGTATCACTCAGTGTACATCATTTTATTCCAAGGCAGTAAACTTTTATTTTATTTCAGTGTACATTTCTTGATTGACTGAAAAGTTTGTAATTGCTGGTTGAGATTGTTTACTGTTTTGTTTTTTGGAATTACTCGGTAATATAAAATAATTTTTATGAAAAAAATCTAGTACTTAGAAACAATGACAGAGTGGAGGGAATTACATTTGTTATTCAAATTGTCATCAACTTTATATTTACATTGCATTTCAAGAAATGTTGTGCAATATATTTATGGTAATAGTTTTATCTTTTATTTTTCTTACAATTGTATTAAATTTATGTCTGGTACATGTTAAGCAATAAAATACTCTTGTTTAACTAATTTTAGTTTATGATGTTATTTATGTGAGTGATTGATGGGCTCTTTCCCCAAACGAGCTGGAACCTCCAGGAAAAATATCCAGGATTCCTATAGGACAAATTCTAATAGGATTCCTATAATATTTTGACACAAAATCCTATAGGATTCCTATAGGACAAAATCCAATAGGATTCCTATAATATTTTGACACAAAATCCTATAGGATTCCTATAGGACAAAATCCAATAGGATTCCTATAATATTTTGACACAAAATCCTATAGGATTCCTATAGGAAAACACGTGTCAAAATATTATAGGAATCCTACAGGAATTTGTTCTATAGGATTCTTATAGGAATCCTATAGGAAACTTTTGTAAGGGCTGCAGTTCTTGAGCCTGTTGCCCTCAACCTGTAGCCTCCAATCCTTTAGCTTCCAGCCCTCTAGTTCCCTACCATGTACCTCTAAACCCTGAACCTCCCAACCCTGTACCTTCCAGGTATGTAACTCTGTAACTCATACCCCTGTAGCCCATAATCCTGTACCTCTCAATCCTGTAGATCACAAACCTGAAGCCCCAACCCTGTTGCTCCCACCCCTGTAGTTCCTTTAGCTTCTGAATGTTTTCTTGTTTTCAAACACTTTTTCTCAACAAATATTTACTGTTGGGATAAAAAAAGGAATGATATGTGTCTTAAAAAACATTTAAAATAATATGTTGAATATCCGTAATCATGGTCAATTGTGCCTTGCCAAGTCTTATAGCGCCCTCACCGATGTGTTCCAGCTCACATGTTGGAAGTTGAGGGCACAGTGATACAGTCACCAAATAATTTCAGTTTGGGGCAAGAATGAAGGAACTACATCGGCTAATAATGGTAAAGGCAATGGGTGGTCGTTTTATGTCCAAAGTGGTCTCGTTTTGTGCCCCGTTGTCTATATTGAAAAGAGAAGACTGTACAACAACTGCTGCAGAATAAAATCCCTGCAAATCACCAACAAGTGTAGTACATGTATAAACGTAATTGTGAATTTCGGTGAGAAAATCATCAAATGGCGATTAACAAGCTTTGGTAAATCACTTCGCTGGAAGGCTGTACACAGCAAATGGTGAATAAAAAAGAAATCTAGTCTGTCAAAAAGTAAAAAATTTTACAATTAGGTTGTCTGGAAAAGAACGTGTTTTTGAATGTATTGGCCTACCCGAATCTACTAGCGCATTTCTTTAGACAGCAGAACTATGTGTAGAATTCGTCCAATCTATGGTAAAGTATGGAAACGAACACAGTCCTGTCTCTTTGTGGCAAAAATGTGTCGCTTGGACGGTTATATCAGAGTACGTATTCGTCTGAAAAATCAAGTAGGCTACCGAAGACTTTGTACGTAAGAAAACGATCCTAGTTAGCACACTCACCTCCGCTTAAGGTAGCGGGACTATTATTTGCATACTTGTTTTCATCTTCTAATTGTGACTAAATGACTACAAATAGACCTGGGAAAGTATATATTTTTAGAATCGCCAGTCTTCAAGCTTTTCACAAGTGTATGCATGCCCGTATCTGCAATCTACGACGCGTTACTCAATCAAAGGTGAACAATTACTTTTTCTGTAAAAAAAAATAATTACGCATTTATGCTGGCGATAAGAAGTATTTTTTTCACTTTTCCTAGTTGTTCAATAGTCTAGTAAATTGAATGTGTCTGGTTAGTTTTATTCAAGCAACGCGTTTTAAAAAACAGTGTCCTGAATTTCAATTACTGTTTTAGTCGCATTGCCCCCAACTCAAACCACAACTCGTTGGTAAATAATCGATGAAATAGTTTGTCTGGACACATTCAAGTTCCTCTCATTGTCACCTTAAAGCTGTGAAAATTTGGTGTTAATCCGACGACAATAAGTATA